GATTTCAGTTCATAGCCATTTTGTTTTTGTCCTCACTGTCATATTCCCACTAAAGGAGAGACGCAAATTTGGTCCGCTTGGCTGGAATATTCCCTACGAGTTCAACCAGGCTGATTTCACATCCAGTGTCCAGTTTGTGCAGAACCACCTGGATGATATGGACATCAAGAGAGGAGTGAACTGGAGCTGCCTGCGGTACATGCTGGGAGAGGTACAATATTAGCATGCCACTGTGTGTTTGTACCTCTTTTATTTGACGCATCCAAACTTTTGGCAACATATGAAGAGTTCAGATGCAAAAGCCTCTAAATGCCATTTGAAATTTTCTTCTTTAATGATGATTTTTATCAAACTTGTATATTTAAGTTCAGTGATTTCACTTAAATGGCAATGATAATTACCTATTAATTGTTATTTAAGTGAAATTACTGAACTTAAATATACAAGTTTGATAAAAAATCATCATTAAAGAAGAAAATTTCAAATGGCATTTAGAGGCTTTTGCATCTGAACTCTTCATATTTTTACTATCCGCTCTGTAGGTGCAGTATGGTGGGCGTGTCACGGATGATATGGACAAGCGCCTGCTCAATACGTTTGCCCGTATCTGGTTTAGCGAGACCATGTTTGGGGACAAGTTCTGCTTCTATAAGGGATATACTATACCACAGGCCAGGATGCTACAGGATTACCATACACATATTGATACTCTGCCATTGGGTGATACACCTGAGGTGATGCAGATAGATTTTTATTATTTTTCTGTGGGGTTTGATGGGACAGTTGGGTGGTCGCATATTCTATAACCTATTGTAACCTAATGTGCCTGAGCCTTGTCTTAAGCATTTCTATGGTCTTAAGTTGAGCAAATGACAAATAAACTACTTGAACTTGATTCTAATTCTAATAGGTATTTGGCCTCCACGCCAATGCTGACATCACTTATCAGACCAACATGGCTAATGAAACCCTGAGTACCATCCTCAACATCCAGCCCAAAGACAGCAGCAGCGGGGAAGGCGAGACCAGGGAGGAGTCTGTCCAGAAAATGGCCAATGAGATGTTGGAAAAACTTCCTGCTGACTATGTGCCACATGAGGTGAAGATGAAGTTATTGGGCCAACTTTTTATTAGGGTGTTCTCACACTAGGGGATCAAGCACATTTGACCCCTAAAGTGCTCCCTGTTGTTCGGGCATGGTCCGGTTGGACTCAGATGCATGTAGTGTGATCGCTAACTATATGTTGCTACTGCTAGCTATATGATAACGATTACTATATGTACTACTATACTCATCATTTCACTGTATTAATCATTATAACAACAAACATCTTCTATTACTACTTGGATAGTACACTTTTTAATTAATTGAAGCATATTTATGTTTCTAAACGGTCTGGTTTTCACCTTATTACGGAACAGGATTTGTAGCTTGCGTACAGTGTGACAACTTTTGCTCAGATTTTTGCCCCTATTTGCAGTCTGGACGAGTCGACAATAGCAGATTTGGGGCAGTCGGAGTTGACAGATTTCTCAGAAAGTCTTGTAGTGTGTAATGGGAACAGACTCCTATTTTTAACTTCAGACTATGATTCCATCCAGTTGTAGGATATCAATACCTGCTTGATATTATGAGTCGATTGTGTTGTGTATGACGCATTACTACTTAAACCGAAGCTGTCCTCTATCTGCCAGTGTTGCAAACAAATACAATAACAATGCAAAAGAAATGAACAGAAAACACTTTAAATTACAAATTAGCCTCAATATTTTACTCATCAGTATAGATAAAACAACTGACTACTGACTAACTCCTTTAGAGTCAATACTGACCACGTCTACCCACCAAGTACCGCATCCAAATGTACTTGGCTCGTTTTTTTTCTTTTGTAACTCGATACAACATCTACTGCAATCATATCCTGCACATTCATGATTGTTTCGTCTTTTTGCAGGTGAGGAGTTGTCTACAAAAAATGGGTGCATTCCAGCCCATGACTATCTTCCTTCGTCAAGAGCTTGACAGAATGCAACGCGTCATTGGTCGCGTGCGCAGTACCCTCACCGACCTTAAACTTGCCATCGATGGTGAGCTTCAGACACTTTCACCCACAGTACAGAAAACACATTCATATTTTATTATTAAGATAAACATCAACAATATCATCAGAAAAAGACTCTTATTTTGCTTTTGTATTGTAATACAATGATTTTGTAATCCCAAAGGGACTATAATAATGTCAGAGGATCTCCGAGACGCTCTGGACAGCATTTATGATGCTCGTGTTCCAAATACATGGCAAAAGATCTCTTGGGATGCTGCGTCTCTGGGTTTCTGGTTCACTGAACTCCTTGAGAGGAACCAGCAGTTTCACACCTGGACGTTTAGTGGTCGACCTCATCAGTTTTGGCTCACAGGGTTTTTCAATCCACAGGTGGGGCAAAAGATTTGAGGACCTCATCTTGTGTTTCATTTGACTCTTTCATTCCATGCAAATGATCAGGTTTCTCCAGTAACACACTTATTTTGTGTCTTTTCTTCATTGAAGGGGTTCTTAACAGCAATGCGTCAAGAGACCACTCGAGTAAATGTGGCTAAAGGCTGGGCCCTAGACACAGTCGTCCTACTCAACGACGTCACTCGTATGATGAAGGAGGATGTTACAGGCCCTCCTCCAGGAGACGTGGGCGGCGTCTACATCTACGGTCTCTTTCTGGATGGTGCTGGATGGGACAAGCGAAATGCAAAACTGACAGAATCATCACCGAAGGTATTCAGGGGATGGATTTATTATTATATTAAGGGGAATTATTATTATTACTATTATATTATTATAAGACAATACATAGTCAAAAGTATGTGGATAACAGGTTTAGCTGTTTCAACTACAAACATTGCACAGACCCTTATAGTCTTCTCAGGCAGACAGACTTCCTGTGAGCCCTTTTCTGTTTCAGCATGAAAATGCTCCATGTGCACAAAGTGAATTTCATATAGAAATGGTTTTCTAAGCCTGGTTTGCACATGTTTTTGACCATGTAGTTTAGCTGTCAATGAAATGGCTTAATTGTATATGACCACAAAAGTGACAGCCCACTTTCTCAGCTATCTTAATGTCTGTAGAATTGTTCCCATTCGATAAATGGAATATATGTATAACGTCTTTTATTAACTGGATAGCCCATGAAGAACTGAAAAAATGACGTATTTTGTAATTATACAATACATCATAAACTGCATATATATATATGTAAGGGATAATGTAGAGCGAGGCAGTTGTTATAGCGAATACAACCCCGATAGGCTTCACGTTGGGGTCTTAAATCAGCCTGAAGGGGTTGTATTCACTATAAAAATCGCCCCAATTTGCATTATCCCGCTTATTACATGGCTACCTTCCAAATAAATCAATAATTTAACACAAAATATTGATTTAAAGGAGTTTATCCTCCAGAGTGAAGTGAATTGTGTCCAGGGCAACGCTCTGTTTTTCATGGCAATGGTGTATTGCATCAAAGTCCTTTCAGGCAAGTCATGCCACTCGGCCACCATCTTGCAGCTATTTCGGACTTAACAAGACCAGGCTCCTGTCTAAATGAATGGGCAGAGAGTCAGAACTGCACTTTCACTGGTCACCGGGACATAAAAACTGCATGTATAGAAACAGCAGTAAAATATAATAAAAATCGCTGAAAAACTTTGATGACTTTGCCCTAAAATAAGGTTTAAAACGCCGTTTTCCCACAGGTTATACTTTAACTGAGCACGCGCAAGGGTTCTCTCGCTCTCTGTCGCGCGCTGCACAGTTTGAAACACAGTATGTGCGCGCTCCTGCTCGCTCGCTCTAGATTCTGGGAGATTTTAACTAATTTGCGGGCATCAGCGAGCCTCTATCAATCTGCGGGAGACTTGGGATGTCTGATATTTTCACAACGCACACATACACAGCATATCAAATCTGCCGCCTTTTCAAACAGTAACGTATTTAAATGTTTCCCAGCTTGACCGTTAAAAGCATACGATTGGCTGTCAAGCGGGAGGGGCGGGGCATTTGCATACAACCGCCATCTTTGGTGTTACGGGTTTTCCCTATACATTTGTATTAAGGATTGAGGAAGTGGCATGTCTCTATATAAATACTAGTCTCTGATTGTATTTAGCGGCGGTCTGTTATCAAGAACTAACAACCAAGCCATGTAATAAATATATATATGAAGTTAATTACAAAACAGATTATTAGACAATTAATTTGACTTTTCTATCCATAAAAATAAAAAAAAATTCTAGAGAAGCGCATATGCCATCTTGCGAACCCAAAGTCAACTAATCGGTCTTAATTTGCAAAGCCATGACAGTATATCTGTATAATCTTGTTTGGTAGGTTCTCTTCACACCATTGCCAGTTGTGCATGTGTATGCGGTTAGCAGCACCACAGAAACCAAGAAGTCACCCATGAATCTGTACTCCTGCCCAGTGTACAAGAAACCAAGACGAACTGACTTGACATACATCTTTTCCCTGTTGCTCCGGAGCAGCCAGAACCCGGACCATTGGACACTGAGGGGAGTTGCTTTGCTTTGTGACTGTAAATAAAAATTCCAAAGCTATTTTGACACGTGAAGCTAGTTATAAAAAAATTCGAATCAGTTTAAAAAAAAAAATGGATATTGATTCGTGGAGTTCGTGAGAATTGATACTAAATTTATTATTATTGAGATGGCAAGGATTTTACTGTAAAAAAAAAATTCTTGTTTAAAAGCAGCAATATAAAAGTTGAAATATGCACAATTCTTTTGCACAAACATGCAATAGAATGTATCTGTTTTTCTTAAACTATTCAGAAATGCCCCTTATAGTGGTCTACTATCTGGGATCGTTACTTTTGCAGTGCATTGATGTTGATTGATATATTATAGCAGTGGTGTCCGAACTATGCGCATATATGACTTAATTAAAACAATGTATTGAAGAAACATAATTGTTCCATTACAACTAGTGTTCTTGAGTGACGTTCTTTATTATTCACACATGAACATTTCATATAGAGCTCAAAGTGTGATTAAAACAAACAGGAAAGACAATCTCATGGTAGCAGTCTAGCCTTTTTATCCTCATTACAACTAAGTGGCCTCTGACTTTTTTTTTTCTCCATTTGGCCATAATAAAAAAGTTTGGACACCTGCATGATAGGAAATAACATGCCATACAGCAGCATTTGTTTTTTTACCACTGTGATCTTTAAACAACAGACTGATTGCAAATCTTTAATAATAAATCTTGTTGACTAGTTATACACGCTATGCATTTTCTTTCACAAACTGTTCAGAAACCTGCTGATTGAGTTAACATGTTTATTTAAAAATACTACAAATGAATAGTGATGGTTTATACCTAAAGTTGTTTTACACAGAAAAGAACAACACAGAAAATCACAGAAAAATATTGTTATAAATTACTTGCCTGCACAGTTAATGTTATATTCCAAAGACAACAACAACAACATCTAAATTGAAAAACCCAATTCTAAACTCATTAGAATGGATGTCAGTCAACACCACAATATATTTATAGTTCTCCAGATAAAGTCCCAAACACACTTTTGTAACCCATCTTCGAACATTTTTTGTTTTTTAATAAATTCAGCTATTTAAAGTAATTTTACACACGCCTAACCAATAAAATGCTAATTAAATATGTATTTCTTAAAAGGTGCACTCAGTAATTTTTCCTCAAAAACATTTTACCCCTTAATAAAGAATAGCGAGAGACTGCAGTGTCTTACAATAAGACGTTTTCCATCATGGGGGACGCCATATTGGTATCACATGACCAGCGGACCACTGCTCACTATAGTGAGTGTGATTCGAAAGCATATGGCGGTACTTTGATGTCAAACACACCTTATATCTATCAGTAGTATTGTAAAACACATCTGTGTGGGTTGAGTATTTGTTTCCAAAAACCTTCTCTTTTGCATGATGCGTCACCCATAGGTGGCAGAATGAAGACTAAAAACAAACAAAAAAAAATGAAACAGTGAGTGCACCCTAATTTTAGCTGATTACCATAGCCTAGTCACCTCAGTACATTGGTTTAACATTCACAACCCTTCATACTGCAGTCTGAAACAGATGTAAACAACAAAATCAAAAGAAAAAAATCTATGTATATTGTTTGTAGTGTACAACTTCCTCAATTCGCTCATTCAATTGTTGTAAGCACAATCCGCTGATCCATATGCTCAGAAGCAAGATCTCTGATCTTCCCAATCTTTCCACCTTCAAGTTCTCCATAATCTAATTCATATCTGAACATTAGTCTTTCCCAAATGTGACTGTCAGACTCGCCTTTTAAGAAAGCTGCTTCATGTCATACATCGGCACTTCCGATTCCTCGCCCTTGCCCTCCTCTGGACCTTCTTGTTTCTCCGTCGGCTCAGTGTAGGCCACGTCAGGGCTTGGCTTGCGACCCTTGGGTGGTGGGACGGGTGCCGTTCCTTCCGTGGTCCCTTCTGCTCCTTCCTGACCTTCAGCCACCGTCCTTTCCTTCTTCAGGTTCAGCTTTGCTGGCACGGTTTTCGTGATGGTCTCCTTGAAGCGTTCCCCAGACTGTTTCAGCCGCTCCCCGGACTGGCGGATCCTCTCACGTCGATCGGCCGATACTATGCGCTGACCCAGGTTGTTGACCTTAGTGCCCAGGTTCTCTTTGGTCTTAGTCATGTTCTCACGAGAGAAGGTCTGCTTCAGGCTTTCGATACGCTTCAGGCCGGTCTTCTTTATTTTGGCTGCAGTAGATGAGTCGCCCTCCTCAACGACCATGTATTCGTTATCTGAGTCTGGGAGCGGGGCCTCTGGTGCATCTGGGTCTGTGGAAGCGTCTCCGCCCACTGCTCCCTTCAGAGAGGCTTTGGATCCAGCTACAGCTGGGACCTCTTTATCTCCCTGTGGAAAGACAATACATTTACCATAAACGTACCATATTTAGGATATCTAAGACCTTTAATCAAATGGTTTTGAGCCTACATTCTGAACAACCATTCCATGTTTGCACAGTTGTTTGTTAAAATCTTTTACTTTGAACAATGTATTGCCATCAACATATTTGGATTATTGTGTGATGTTTGCGATTGTGTTTTACAAAAATGTTCCATTATAGCTCTATACAAAACAAAAATAATTAAGCCATCTTTTAAGAGTCTTGGCTCGAAGTGGTCACAAATTCCCAAAAAAATTCTTGCATAAGAAAGCCATAATCGATATAGCCTAAAATGGCGATTAGGGCCTAATCGCCATTTTAGCCCCCTTTTTTAACTTCTGGAGCATTTCACCTATTTTAACACTTCAAGGCCAAAGGCCCCGTTTACATGGGAAGATTACGGGTGCAAACGTAAAAAAAAATATTTTATCGGATGTGCCTTTCGTTTACACGGCGACGCCGTTTTTTGAGGCTTAAAAACGCAAAAAAGTTAAACCACCCTCCAGAGTGGAAATCTTAAAAACGCTCCACCGCCGCGTTGCCGTGTAGTCTGCTTGACAGTGAAGGTTGTACGCAGGCGCGTGGACTTGGTCTTGTTGTAGTATGCACTCCTAGCCGCCTGAAGTGCATACTACATTGAATTTCACACACTTTTGCGTCACCATTTGCACACGGATTTCCCACACAAAACGCTCGTCTAAACGCAGAATAAAAAGTGATGACGTAACGCCACTTTTGCATTTTCTCTTCAGAATCGTTTCCGTGTAAACATAGCCTAAGCCGGGGTTCATCAATGTCGGTCCTGGAGGGCCACTGTCCCTGCACTTTAGCTCCAACCCTGATCAAACACGCCTACCTGTGAGTTTCTACTGATCCTGAAGACATTGATTAGGTGTGTTTGATCAGGGTTGGAGCTAAACACTGCAGGGACAGTGACCCTCCAGGACCGAGATTGGTGAACCCAGGGGTTTTAAGTCCACCTGGCACTATGTTGATGTTTTGACTTCTGGAATTGGCAATTTTCATTGCAGAGTAAAGAGACATATTTCTGGATTCTACAGATTCTCAGCTACAATTTGGATGCATTGAAAACACACTTTTTGGAACAATTGTGCGTGTAATAATGTGATATCTCACTAAGAAATACAAAAACAGATTTTTTTTGTTGTTTTTATTATATAAAAAATAAATAAACAAGGGATTTTACAACAAATATTTACTCCTCAGACGTGTCCCCCCCCAATATTGAAAAATGCGGTATGTGTCCCACCCAAAAAATTGCATACTAACCTACCGCAGGAACACAAACTGTAGATTTGAAACTTTTATTTTTAATGCGCGACAAAGAAGATATCCGGTTTTGTCAGCAAGTCAAACCCAGAGTGATAGTTAGGTTAAACCCTTAAATCCGGTTAAACCTTCCCATTTCATGTTTGAATAATCACCATTCGCTTCATTTATTTCACTCACCGGAGCATCTGATTGGTGGAGAGAAGTTAGCATTAAACTAGAGGCGCACCAGCTTTGAACTGGAACCACATGATATATCTAATCATGTTACTTATAATATCACATACCTTTTTTGCAGTTTGAATAAATAATAAACACAGCAGTTTGAACTCTTCTCCTCTTTATTATATCACACATCAGATCACTAACTCCAAAAACCGCGACCGTACTAAGTGCGCACGACCCATCTACGGCAAGCCCCGAGGGGAAAAATACATTGCATACACGCATACAACGAGCGCTAGTACATCATACCGGTATTATAGACTTTGTTGGATTATGTCATTTACAATCCAAAAAAGTCTGTTACAATAATAATAACAGTGTTGTAGTACTCGAGACTCGGACTCGGTCTCTCGAGACCATATTTTAATGGTCTTGGTCTTGTCATGGACTCGTGTCCATTTGGACTCGGAATTGACTCGTACTCGAACATTTTTTTTCCCGAATTATTCCCGAGTCCACTCGAGTTCAATTAAAAATATTTTTCATGATTATTAATGTATGTTCATAAAATATTTCTTTAAATTGATTGACACGCCCAGTGATTGGTGATTTTCTAGTGCGCAACTGCACATGACAAATTGTAATAAAATTACTTTTAACACCACCTACTATGTGGCCTTTTTACCCTAAACTGATCATATTTTTTAAAGTCTAAGTAAATTCGGTAAAAAAAAAAAAAAAAAAAAAAAAGGATTTCTCTAAGTAAATAAAAGTAAATTAGGTAATCAACCCTCACTGGTCTCGGTCTCGACTCGGACTCGACCGTCTCTGGTCTCGGACTCGACTCGGACTCGACTCTCTATGGACTCGGTCTTGACTCGGACTCGACTCTCTCTGGTCTCGGTGTCGACTCGGACTCGAGTGAGGTGGTCTCGACTACAACACTGAATAATAATAAATATTTTGAGGACAGTTACACTGTATTGAGACAGTTGAGATAATAATATTTTTGCAGTTTTCAACAATAATTGTCATTATTGAACCCTTGCTCTTATTTTGTGTCTGATTTCTCAGTTTTGTCATTATTTTAGCAAATAATTTATTTTCATATATTTTGAGACGGTTTGTTTTAAGAAGTTTCAAAGAGTCAGTAAAAGAGTAAAGTAAAAGTTAAAACTTTTTTATTTAAGTATAGGCATATTTTTTTATTAAGTATTTATTTTGTATTAACACTGTATTCATTTATAATGTATCATTATTGCGTGACATTTGTGTCAATAATCGTCAAGCACTGGTGACTTCGCGTAGTGGGAGGGGGCCCCAAATCAGACCACCACTGCAAGTACCATATCACCAAACTGTATGTTGGTGGGATGGACGTTGATTCATAGTGGCCAATATGTCCCCCCCAATGTCAAAGACATTCCTACGCCCTTGCCTGGGGCTAATCCCAGACCCCTCTCCATTGTCTGAGAACGTCATCTTTTGTTTTTGATCTGTGATTGGTTCACACACACCAACAGCATTTCATATCATTAGATCAGAGTAAAGTAATATTTGTTTGTTTTGCAGTAAAATGCTATAGATTTGCACTAAAAAAACAAAATGCTTAACATTATTAACCCAGTATATACAGACAAATGTCAGCTTTTTCATAAAAAAGTAAGTTAAAGGTTGTCTAAGCGATCCTGGGTGTTGACGTTCGGAATATTTTCAAACAAATCGGAGGCTAGCTAGACCCTCCCTCCTCCGCATCTCATCTCCTTCCCCTCCCTTCCGTGCTTCCTGAAGTAATTGTGAACGTGCATTTCGCTGACTGCATAGTTCTAGCTAATGGGCTATATGCACGCATAAGTTCCGCATTTGACGTAAGGATGCTCGTCCATTTCCGGTTGTGGAGATTAAAGCGGAGGAAAACCGAGGAAAACGGGATTATGGCAGAGTCTTCAAAATTTACTGTCCTCCCGTCTTTGAAATGAAACGTACATACGTTTAGATGTAATTTTATATATAGTTATATTTATTTAATATAATTTTAAAAAGAAGCATAAACACAACGAGGGGTGTCTGTTTTATCTGTTTTTGTGACTAACGTTTCTTTAGTATAACCATGGAGTATAAAATTCAATATAAATTCTCGGTATTGCATTGGACTCTACGATCGGCGGAAGTTATCGAGCATCCCTAATGCTTCACCGGAAATACCGCCGTGCATAGAGCCCATTATATCCTTGTGTGGGTTTGGCGAACATAAGCGTCAATTTAGAATAATAAAAAAAACATTTTAAAGGCTGTCCAGCAAAAAACCCTTACGTTGGTCCCACATCGCTCAGAGAACCTTTAATACCGTCATCCAATCCGAAGTTAGAGGTTCTTGTTTTACAGATTGCACATTGTTTGTAACAAAGTAAATATCTTTGAATCAATCAATCTGGTCGTATTAGAGTCATTTTCTGTGTGCATCTTTCTTTTTTAGAACAAAAACTTGAACATTATAACATTACAACTTTAATCGTAAGGTTTTTCCTTTATATATTGCACATTTGTTTAAAAATAAACGTAGGAATCAATTAATACATTCATGTTAGAGTCATTTCCTGTGTGCATCCTGTGTTTTCTTGTATTTTTACTGTACTAGCAGGACGGTTGCCAGCAAGTCACTGTATTTCGATTTCCAGTAACTAGTGTAATTCACTTTACAGTGCACAAGGTCAGTAATGCAAACTACAAAATAGTACTTTACTATATTTTTACTGTATTTTGTAATTTGGTCTGCTTCTGCTGTAATCAATTATACGGCATTGTACTGTAATATCAATATTGATACATTACTGCTAAATATTGTAATTTTCAAAATATTTACTAATAATGATAATATCATATAGTTATTTGGAAAATATATAGGAAAACAAAATACTATGGAAGTCAATGGCTACTGTCAGCTGTCTTGTTACCGACGTTCTTCAAAATATCTTTTGTGTTCAGCAGAATAAAAACGGTATGAAACTCATATAGGTTTGGAACAACATGAGGGTGAGTAAGTGATGGCAAATATAATTTGTGGGTGAACTATACCTTTAAAGTGAGTTCACCCAAAAACTTAAATTAGCCCATGATTTAATCACCCTGGCCTCTAGCCATCCTAGGTCTATATGACATTCTTCTCTCTGACGAAAACAATCAGAGTTATATTAAACAATGTCCTGGCCCTTCCAAACTTTATATTGGCTGAAAATGGTTGTTTCTGTTTTGAAAGTCCATAAAAGTGCATCTACCCATGATACAAGTGCATCTATCCATCATAAAAGTGCATCTATCCAGAAAAAAAAAATAGTATTCAAATGAAATATTAAAAATATTCATATTTAAGTTGCGCTTTAGATTTAAGTCAAATGCGTATGTTCGTTTGGCCGGAAGTTATTTTACTTTATAAAGTTTTAAACACAGATATTTTTCTTACATCTCCATCTTCCTCATTACTCCACATAAAGTCAACATCTGAGATATTTTC